TGAATGTTTTTTGTGCCATTGTCAATTGTGGGCACAGGAAAAAACAAAGCATTTGAGAAGAAAAACTTGAGCTTTTCTGACAAAGCTGACAGGACTACAAAGGATTGCTTTAAACTCAATACTTGTCCTTGTTAATATTTTTATTAAGTTGTCATGACAAATTTCCTATTCTCAATAAAGTGGAAGCAAGTGGGTTTTAACCCACACATTATCTATAAGATGGAAGAATGGACCTGGAAGACGATGAAATACTCATATATTCATTCATCCACTCGATAGTTATTTTACTGAATTTCTCTTATGAACCATGTTCATTGCTTGGCACTTAGTCTGCAAAGATTACTTCTCTAACATCAAGAAACTCTTAGCACTTTTTCAGGGTGTATCAAACATCTAGATTAGAACATGTGCTTCATGATCACCCAATACCCTAGATTGGTTACTTTTCCCACATGCCATATTGCCTGACAGTCACAAAGTTTGGGAGAAGGAGAATACAAGCACTCTCTAGCTGAGAGTCTGCCCTTGGTAAAACTGAGTAGCCTGGAACAGAGATTACTGAGGTTAAATGTAGTACTTGTGAAGGACTTCGGTGTGCTATGGGTTATGAAGATGGTGAAGACAGAAATGAATGAGTTAAGCAAGTCATGTTCCAGGATGAAAGGAATATTGACAAGAGTAAAGGAACACAAAAACAAAAACACAGATTTTATGCAAGCCTACACGGCATGCAACTGGAGGACAGTCCAATGGGGCCATCTGGCCCCAACTGATCTTTCCACTTTATCTTCTAGACTTTTTTTTTTTTGTTTTTCATTTACTTCATATTTCTATCTGTTGGCATCACCCTCTGTTTTTTGAATATTGGTCTTCATGCCTTCTCACCTCCATGCCCTTGTTCACAAGTTTCCCTCTGCCTGAAAACAAAACAAAACAAAGAAAAATCTCCTCTGATTAAGGAGCCAATCCCATTTACAATTGCACCCAAAACCATAAGATACCTAGGAATATATCTAACCAAAGAGGCAAAGATCTGTATTCAGAAAACTATAGAACACTCATGAAAGAAATTGAGGAAGACACAAAGAAATGGAAAAACCTTCCTTTCTCATAGATCAGAAGAACAAATATTGTGAAGATGTCAATGCTACCTAGAGCAATCTACACATTCAATGCAATCCCCATCAAAATACCATCCACTTTTTTCAAAG